AAGAAAAATTACTTTAATGCTTGGCCAGGAAGTGAGCAAGGTTTGAGTTACAGCCTTCTTACATCTTCCAAATTCTTCTTCCCTCCTCCTAAAAACCATTTTCACAGTGCTACCCTACCCTTCAGTTAACCTCATAAAGCTCATGAGGGCCATTTGCCTTTTCCTCACTAGGGCCATTTACCTGCACCTCATTAGAGCCTCTTACCTCCACCTCATCAGGTTCTTTTCCCCACCAAACACCTRTTTAGCTGAGGTTGACGTTCAGAGCTGGCCTATTAGACACCAGAAATTTCAGTGAGAGTGTTTTTGAGCTTAAGATGAGGAGCTGTGCTGAAAATTAGGCTTTGGGGCAGAATTTCAAAGCTCTCCATCTCTGACAACCTATCTCTGCTCTCAGTACCCTGTGAAGAACCTTAGCTGTGGATGTAAAGTGCATCCAGGAGAGCATAGGCATGCTGTGCTCCAGATGGTCACTCTCTTTTCATTCCACACAAATATCGCTGATTGCATTGAGAACAAGTGGAGAAGCTAGGAGATTGAGATTAAAACTCAGAAGTAACGGAAAGAGGTTTTTTTCCTCCCCTCCTACACTTGGAACAAGAAACACAAATAATGACAACTTCCTAGAATTGAAGTAATGGAAGGGGCTTTTTTTCCTCTCCTCCCACACTTTAAGCATGAAATACAAATGATTGCAACTTCCTGGAACTGTCCCCAAAGCAAACACTGTTTAAGGTTGTCCCAGAATTGTTACTACCACTTTTAAAAGCTCATTTATGTGGGTGTTAAAGCTCTGTCTGTGCTCCAAGAAATAAGCAATTTTTCTGCGTGTTTTTCATAACATTTCTGTGGAGATGTATGTCTATTTCCAGAAATATCTTTGGTTGATTTTAAGGTATTATTTAGTAAAAACTGAGGGTTTTAAAGGACAGCAGAATAAAAATCTTGAAGTATATTTGAACAASTTAGAATAAAAAAATACTTAAAAATATTTTAATACATGTGCATATATGTATATGTCATTAGATTTAAAATAARTGCTTGTACTTACATTCATGAATAGGTCATTAATTAGAGAATAATTAAGATCTGAAATATTTTTTAACTGAAGCCTCTTTCTCACTTCTGCTGAGGTAAAAGACAGTAATGTTCCAGTTCTTTGGATGGGACAGATCTTGACTCTGCTGAGGTGTAGCATGCTGTGGAAAAGGAAGAAGTCTGGGCTATCCACATGTCTATGTCTTGAGTTCTTTGCTGCATTCTTAGGATATATTTCAATGAAAAGGGAAGCTGGAACAGGACTCTGAATGTTTTCCATTCCTTGACCTCTTTTTAAGAGTTACCAAGATAAAGCACATTTGAATAGTGGAATTCCTGCTTTTGTTTTCAGTCCTTCCCTGGACACCTGTGCCATTGATCTAAGAACCAACAGAACCACAGCTTTAACTGTTTGCAAGATGCATGCTTTGGAGTGCATGGGCAGAAAATACTCTCTGACTAATGCAGAAAACTGCAAAATACCCCAGGCAGCTGAAATACCATGTGGATCGTGCCGTTCATGGGAAAAATGCGATGGTAAGAGGTTCTTCACAATTGCAAGCAAAATTGTTCATATGACCAAAGGGAGATCTTTATCCCCAGTTACACATTAGCAGTTGTTCTGTCCTGTAAGGCATCTGCAGTCCCTCCCAGAAGCACCAGGCACTGCTAAGCTGGCTCAGACCATCAGCCAAGTGTTTGGTGTCCAAATGTGGCAGGAATCTCCAACCACGAAAAAGAAAACCCTGCAGGATATTGTTACAAAATGTGCCATCCACGGGAAAAGCTTATTCCTTATTGCTTTTTTTCATYGTATCTACCTGTTGAAATTCCTTAAAACAGCAATTGCAGAAATCCTTACTGCCCCCAGGAATCCTTATTGCCCCCACGTTCCTGAAACTTGCCAAGCAGTCTCCCCGGCAGGATCCTGTCCCTAGGAATTAAAAGTTTTATTGTACACTAGCTGTGAAAGCCACTTRCTGTTGTTTGTACTTCACTGTCTATCCCCAGTTTCTCATATAATGATTAAAGAGGTCTCTTCCCTCTTGCTGTTTTTTGTAACCTGTCTGCAGTGAAAGTTTTCAAATCCCCTGATTTGTTTTCCTTGTCTGTCCTACGCTACATTGCATTTAATGGAGGGTTGCATTTAAGGGAGGAACAGGAAGATGAAGTAATAAATTAGGGTTTTAGAAGTKCCCAAGCAAGAGGCACAGTTATTGTCATAATTTGAACATAAAAAAGATTACTAGATAGGAGTTAATCTGTTTTGCCTGGCAGGGTTGAACACACAAAAATAATAACAACAAAAAAAAATCAAAATTGTCTGGATCTTCTGCAAAGACAAACACAGGCAAAAAAAATGGATACACTAAAAAAGACAGTTATGAAAAATAAATCTTAGGTGGAACCTTCTTACCTGATTGTCACTGATATAGCTACACACATTTATTTGATCTTCATCAAAGTGTATGAAAATGTAAGTACCAGTTTCTAAGGATTTGCATGGTGACTTTGTTAGTGTCCAAAGACAGAGCTCTCATCTTTTATGTTACCCGAGCTCTAGAGAAGTAGATACATGGGCCAGAAGCAGTTACATGAGAGAAGCCTTTGAGTACAGCATCTCAGGCACCTTGAGCAAGTTTTTCCCACAAGTATGCTGAGACTCTCCAAGCAGAAGAAGCCCTAGCAGTGCACAATTTATTTCCACTTCTAGTTTTTTCACTGAGCCTGAGTATCATCTAATGTTGCTGAAAGAATTAGGGAATTAACTTAGAGAAAGAATGACACAATTGCAGAAAGCTTTGGGTTGGAAGGGACCTGTAAAGATCCTCTAATCGAAACCCCCTGCAATCACTCAGGATGTGTTCACCCAGATCAGTTTGTTCAGGGCCCTGTCCAACCTGGTCTTGAATGTTTCCAGGGATGAGACATCCACCAATCTCCCTGACCCTGTGTTTCACCACCYTCATCCTAAAAAATTTCTTCCTAAATATTTAGTCTGAATATGGCTTCTTCCACATTAAAACCATTATCCCTTGTCCTACCATTGCAGGCCCTACTAAAATGTCTGTCTTACAAGACCCTTTAAGTACTGGAAGTGCAATGGATCTTCCCAGAGCCTTCTCTTCTCCAGGTTTGTTCATCCTGGAGAACAAACCCAACTCTCTCATCCTGKATGAACAAACCCAACTCTCTCAGCCAGTCTCTGTAGGAGAGGTACTCCAGCCCTCTGATCAATTTTGTGTTTTCCTCTGATTCTGCTCCAAGAGGTACATGTCTTTCTTGCGCTGAGCACCCTCCGGAAAATTGCTTTCAGTCCCTATGGTTTTTCTGGAAACATTTTAGTCTGGGTTTTGTTTTGTTTTTGTGACTCGGATGATATCTTGAGCGTTTTTCCTCTGTGTGTTTGTTTAGTGCTAACCAGGACCTGTGTTTGTGATGGGGCCGGGCCGTGTGAGGAAGGAGGTGTCCAGGTGTGTGCTCAAGTGAGCGACTCTGCTGCCCGTCGGACCCTGACTGAGTGCGAGGCTGGGCTGCTCAGGTGCCGGGGGGAGGCTGTCACCCTCGTCAGCATACAGCCCTGTGATGCTACAGAGTAAATAAGATATCTTAACGCTTTATTTTGCTTATTGCCAGGGGATATGTCAAAATGTGTCAGCTTGGGTAGGACATACACTGAACCTTGCTCTGCCGAATGTAAGCTCTGCTGTGAAATCCACCACAGCTAATCAGACTGTGCATCTGGCCAGCTCTGAATCCAGGCCCGAGGCTCTTGGTTAGACTGAGATGCACTTGCCACTGCTGCTCATACAGAGCTTCTGCTTAGGAGCCAGCCTTACCACTGGCAGATTTACTTCATATTTCCACCAGAATTAAAAAAAAATGTTGCTGGAAGTGGAATTGGCAAAGTTGCTATTATACTGATGAATTGCCATGTCTGACACTGTAAATACGTTTTTCTTAAAGCTACACAAACATATGCTTGCACTGAGTGGATTTAGATTAGCAAAACATACAGACTAAACTTTACAGAGTAAAAGGTTTGATTCTTCCCTTTCAATAAAACAGCTTATTTCTACCATGCACTATTCAGCTGAGCAATTTGCACAGAACTGAAGTTCTTGTTGTTCCTGATGCACTTAAAGGTCAAAACAATGTGCATTAATAGCAGAGCCACATTAAAGTAATAAGAACACATCCGTGCTTGTAGTTTCTCATACACAGAAACACTTCACAAAAAAAAAAAAAAATGACCATTTTACATTGTCATTATTATTATTAGTATTATCATGAGCTACACTTGTAAGCGCAGGTAACTCTGTGGCATTTGCCACATGCATTTATGTTCAGGCCGAGATTGGCATCCTTCCAGACCATTGCACAAAGAGGCCTTCTGCCTTAGCAAAACTTTCTTAAAGGTAGCTTTGAGAAAACTGTTAGGGAAAATACATCTTTACAGCAATGAAGACATTCTGCATGCAGTCCCCTTGGAGATASCACTGGATAATCTTCAAAGACTATTCTTGAATAAAAGAAGTTTCCTATAATCTTTCTTTATACTAAACATCCTCTCTGGTGTAGTCAGACAGTGATATCTTTACCTACATATTGCAAGTCCATTCAGTTCCCTTGCTGTCCCATCCCTTCTGACTATTCTGGGATGCAGTCCCATCCCTTCTGACTATTCTGGGATGCAAACAAGGACAAAGGGCTGGATAACAAGTGGGTGCTCAGCCAAGTGCAGTACTATCACATGTATGTTAAGTATGTATGCTCTTAAAGCAACAAATTCTATTCTTACTATCAGTAACATAGTAAGATGAAACATCTCTTGATTATCATATTTCTTYCAGTAGCTTCCTTGCATAAACCCTACCATCAGTTGTAAAAGCTTTGCTTTCTGTGATGCTGGCAATAAGGAATAAGCCAGAACAGGAGTGGCTTACTTGGAGATTCTGGTGGAGGTAGCCATATTGGAAGGGAAGGTTGCCACACCCTGACTGAAAGGACCTCCTGACCTTTATGACCTTTATGCTGTCTGGAAAATAACACCAGGTGATGGGGATTCTTTTCTTTTTGAGCMAATAATTTTTTGTGAATAGCATACAAATGAAAACAAGTAGAATAAAATCTAAATAAATGTAATCAACTGTTTTATCTTTATTATTTGCACTGGAGTAGGTAGTAATAGTTTTGTAGAACACCCAGGRGTTGCTTACTTGATTATTCTGAAGTTTCTTGTCCTCAGTTTCTGGCCTTTTTCTTGCGGCATTTGGCACAACATGTGATTGGACCATGAGCCCACTGGGTAGCAGTGGCTTCTGTRGCTGCTGAGGGCAAGAACAATATCACCTGGAAATTTCATGATAGCACAGAAATAATAGTGACTTAGTGATTCATGCCTTCAAACAGAGAAATGTAGAAAACCAGCACAGAGCCACAAGAAACATTGAGAATTCCTGTTCCAAAAAAAACAACAAAGTTGCCTGATAATCATCTCAATACATCASCAGGAACAGCTCTCCATGTTGGTAAAATAAATTAGCCTGAGATAAGGCAGCCGAAATATTAATGAAGGCTGCATTTCAGATGCTTCTTTCAGTCCCTGGCATCTCACTGTTCATCTGACCCATCTAAATCTTTGCAAGGATCSTTTTTCACTCCTTTTTCTTTCTAAGTACCCACTCCATCTTTTCTCCTCCTACTTCTCAGCGCAGTCAGGTCCTTCTCTGTTGTTACCTCACAGACACATTCCCTCCTCCTCCAGACTGCTCGTGTCCAGCAGGGATCTGCTCTCTTTCCTGCTGTGATACCGCACTCCTTTCCCTGCCTGACTTCTGACTTCCTGCCACATCAAGAGCATTTCAGATCCATCACCTCTCCTGATAACCTGAGGCCATCTTACAGCATTTTAGAATAGACATGATAGGTTTTTGTGTTGTTTTGGTTTTTTTCTAACCAACCTGCTGACTGTCTAATGCTGCAGGAGAGGAAAGGTAAGGTGAATATGTAGAAGATTTTCTCAGAGCAATTCATTGGAAGAAAAACAGGCTCATGGAGGACCAGTATCTGGGATGACACTGTCCAGTCACAGTCTGCCTGGTCACCAGTCATTCCTGTGGTACTCATCTCCGCTGGCCACACTTTGTCACTTTCAGGACAGACATGTATCCAGTCACTGTGATCCATCATGGTGATATTAAACTAACAAGCAAATACAGGACATTTCTTTTTGGTAAGAAAGAAAAATCATGAATGAGTGTCAGATGAGGAAAACAACAGGGGGACCATGGTTCCATGGAATTAATCAGCTTAGCAACATTATCGGGCAGAGAGTGGTAAATCTCCTTGTTTAACCTGAATTAAATGACCATGCATTTGCCCTATCACCCTGTATCAGGATGCTTGGGGGAGCATATTTTTATAGTAGATGACCAGAGCTTTGGACAGCTGCGGCAGATTAAATTTCACTCAGATCAAGGAAAGATAAACAGATCTAGGTATGGCAAGCTTGTTATCCATACTGACAGATTCATCTGAGGCCRGTGACTTAGAAGATATCACAAATTGCTCAGTAAAAAGGCTTGCCTRATGCAGAACAATAGGTACAATAACAGAATGAAGGGACCTTTATGAAACAGTCATGCTGAAAAAATTCCTCCATGTTAGCACTATTTGGTAAATAGTATCATCATGTGGGGTGAAATTCAGCCTTTATTGCCTCCTTGCAAAAAAAAAGTGGTCTGCAGCAGCATTAGCAAAACCTGGTTTTCTAGGAATTTATTTTTGGCATGGATTCTTGGACTAATAAGAAGTAAGCCTGCACTGTGTCCTTCCCCTTGAGGSAGACAGAGGAGAGATCTTCCTCTCCCCACCTGCCTATTTTCAAGAAAGATGATGAAGAACCCATGCCTTTGGGATCTAATCATCCATTATGTGTTTTTAAAAGATAGACAACAGGTTCATATACTATTGAAGGGGCAACAAAACTAGACTTCTGCACAATAACCCTGTRACAGGCTCCCTTTGTGAAAAATGACTAGCTGGAAAAAGAAGGAGATAGATGCTCTAGAAGTGAAGGTGGGAAGGTTACAGTAGGACAGYCACAGAGCAGTAGTGCTGCAAGTTAAGCATGAGATGTGGAATATCTCTAAATAGGACAGCCAAGTACCTAGTAGAAACTTAGGAAGGAATAAAACTCTTCTGATGTATTTTTCATAATCTGGAGCCAGAAAATTAATATCTGCAGAGTGATAGAGAATTTGTCTGCCTATACAGTGACATGGGAAAAGCTTCTCAAGTTCCTGCCAGATAGGAGTCCACCTGTATAGAAAAGATTTGGGACCAGTGTGTATCTGGAGACTAACTGAAGGATAGAAAATTATGYCCACCATCCTGCTGTTGTTAAAGTACTATTAGTAGCACTAGTAGTGTGAGGTATCATTTGCAATCTCTTTTTCACTGAAGACTATTTCCCCAGTGAGCTTCTCATGGCTCCTTGAGCTCATGCCCTCACACCCAGAGGCACTCTCTGCTTTCCAGGAGGACAGACACATGGAACAGAATGCTGTGATTCCCTGATTTGCCGCCCTGGGCAAGACCTTCCTAGGTGACAACGGATCAGCAGTTGCTTTTCCAAAAGCAAAACATCACTTACTGAAAGAAAAATGCTTGGAATTAGAACATTCCTTGAAAACACTGAAAAAACTGTCAAAAATAACATTTACAAGATACATATTTTTCTCCACCCCTATGTTCCTTTTCTCTCCTGTTCTGTTAATGTCTTCTTTAGACAGCTTTGGCCAGTGCACTTCCACTATTCCATCTCTCTTCTGGCAGGGCTTAACTTGCTGCTTCCCCTTGCTTGCCAGTCATAACCTGATAAAACACACCCACAATTTCTTTACACCTGATGATTTTGCCATTTGCTTTCAGTCTGAGAGCTGTTGCATCACTTCTCTGTTCATTCTCTCTCCAGCCCAAATAGAATCTTACTCAATTACCTCCTGCCCTGGTCTTGCTACCATGTAAAGCCATTGCCATCACCACATTCATAACACTGTAACAGATAACTCCATTTCCACCACACTGTGACTCTGCCGCATTGCTCACTGTGATGAGCTGCCGCTGTAAGTAACAGCAGAGCCTTTACTGTGTATGACAGGGGCACAGGAATATAAACTGCTGTTGATTACTTTCTACTGCAAAACGCAGAGGAGATGTTTCTGACCAGCAGGAGGATGCTACTGGCACACTGGATCTTCTGGCTTAACTCACGAGACATGATAATTGCTCAGAGCTCAGCCTCTGGGACCTACTTTCCTTCGTGTGTTCCTCAGGAAGCTGTTTTCATTTCTTGTGGTCAGGGGCCAGTGGGCAGAATTCTATGCCACAGCAWGCCAGAGAAAACTACCAGCTCACTTTAGCACTTCTCTAAATGGATTTTTATTTTAGAGCCTCTAAGAGCTGTATGAAGTGTGAATACGCAAAATAAACCTTTGCAAGTGATAAGCAGTGGCAAACAGCTGCAAGCAGTGCTTTTGGGCAGWGATAGTTTAACCAGAATAGATCAATAGCTTCTGGTAAAGCAAAGCCATGGTTTCATATTTCACTGTTGGCAGCAATTATACTGAGACTTTAAAAGTGATTGTATTATTCACTTTCTGAATAATTACACAATTTATGATGATAACCGAACTTGCTCATACTGCAGTCCTTATTGATCCCCACAGGCAACCAGCCAATACAAGCAATGCTCTTTTATTTTGGGAACTGTTACTCAAGTTATCGAATCTTATGATRAGGAGAGCTATAAAAGTACTGGGCCATGCATAAAGTTGGTCATAGCATTCTATTTGTCCAATTAGCCCAGGCTCATAAAGCAGCAAAGGCTGCTGCAAATCCTCTCCAAACAGAAAAAGACACCAAAGCTGGCATTTCTTGAGTGAAARCGAATTTATTTTGATCATCTCCCAGGACACATACATGTTGATATTGACCTGAAAATAAGATTGCCATCTTTATTTCAGGGCACACCACTGCTCCCAGCACTCACATACTGGATATTGTCTTTCTCAGTATGTGAAGCTCCCACCAAGATGCAAACAAACTTCTCCAGGTGCTTTGACCACTGGTTGAAGAAAGAGGAAGAGGTGGTGTGTCTCTCAGAGGGAAAATTTGGGAACATTAACTACGGAATAATTGGAGTTTCATTGTTTTTGCTCTCTGCATTGTTTCCTTCAGCAGACTTTATGGAGAATCACCCATAACATCCCATTATGAAACAGCTAAATCCCTTCGAATCCCAAAGATGATCTTAGGCTATGTACACAAACTCTTCCTACTCTTTAAGCTGTCTAGACACAAGATAGCCTGATCTGGGGACCATGTAGAAGCACTGGGGAAATGCATTGGCTGTCTAACAAACACTGAGGAGGTTGGAAGGGATTAGCATGAGCACAGGGCAGTGCTTTSAGGCTTCATCTTTCARGCTGTGAAGAGGTGCCACACACGAAGRGCTGAGGCCAGCAATGCCAGCCACAACTGCAAGGACTAGCAAGSACTGACGGCTCGTGCTGTTCTGCTSCTGCAGTCAAGGCTTTTGTCAGGTCTTGTTGGTTTTAGTAAGATAGGACCTTTATCACAAGGCTGAAAACTAAGCCGAGACACCAAGTAAGGCATGTATGAATGCTGGCTGGTGCTAAAGCCTTTTCAGTCCCTGCAGTTAATCCCTGTTTTGTATCTGTGTGCAGACACACACCTGCACACATCCCCAGGCACACCCAACAAACCAGTAAGGAAAGCAGCCACTATCCGGATGATTCTTAGCAGGGTCTTGCTCGCTGTGTCAGCCAAGAAAAAAATCACATTTACGGGAAAACTCATTGCTGGTCTCATCCTGTTACACAGCAAATAAAAGCCTTGCACAACAAATGTTGACACAGTAACTCTCAGAGGAATTTCACAGACAAAACAGCCATGTGTTCACAGATGCTAATGCAATAACCCAGGTTTCACTGTGTATTTATTAAGAACTTACTGTCTAGCAAACAAAACCAAGTATATGAGGTGATTATCACCTAATACCATCAGGTATTGTACCATGCAAGCTTTGATTAAAAGAGCTTGATGTAACATAGGGAATGTTGCTTGA